CCGCTGGGAGAGACCGTGGGAAATGCAGGCTCTGGGACTCCTCCCTGGACCCACTGAGTCGGACCTCTGGAGGGGCGGCCCAGCGGTCTGCGTTTTCACAAGCCCTCCAGGCGATTCTGACACACACTTAATGTTTGAGTCTTTGATGGAAACAGTCATGATTATGTATGCTTTCCTCTTATGAGCTCTTTATCTAATAAACATAAGCAGAATTTAAAATATTGAGTTAGTAAGATTTTTATAGTGAAGAATATTTAAGATAACCTAAAATGAATTAAAATTGGAAACATTTCAAGTATTCCAAGAGAGGAATGCTTCTAGCTTCACAGTAGAGGGCAACAAGGTTTGAGCCCTTCCTTTGGCCTAAGCATGGTCTTAAGCACGTTTGAATATTGAGGCCTGTAGTTTTTGTTCTTGTTTCCCTTTTCCTTCCTTGCTGATTGCAGGCCACAAGCATATTGGTTGTTGGACAGAATGTATCAGTGTCTCTCCCGCTATTATTTCCAACTCCCTTCCTTGGCTTTAAGGAGATTTAAGCCACTAGATGGCAGATTCTTCCAACAATTATTAGATTGAAGAACCTTCTTAATCAACCACTTGTAATCCTTGGAAATAATTTGTAGTGTCCTGTTTCGTTCATCCTTGTTACACATGCGTGATGCTTAGGGGCCCGCTTTCTGTCCCCACCTCCTGTCATCAGATGGCCTTGCCTGCCCCATTATGACTACCCCGTCCTGCTCTAGCTTCCGCCCCACTCCTTGTTTAATCCACTCCTCCCTGCCTAATTTCGCTCCATCAGTCACACTGTATTTTTGTTATCTGATTCCTATGCTCCTGCTTTGAGTTTTAGACTCTTAGACTGTCAGAGCTAGAAAAGAGTTTTATCCATCAATTGGCTCAGCTCCTTCATTTCTCAGGTGGGAGAACTGAAGCCTGGGGAGGTTAAGCCAAGGACAAGGACGGTGTCTTATTTATTTCTGTGCCCCTATAGTTCTCTGCACAGAGGTTGCAGATGGATGTTTCTGGAGTGAAACAACCCTGGGAAATGCTGCAAAGGATACAGACACAGCCTCTGTGCCAGGTGGCTCAAAGTTACGTAATGGAGGCATGGTTTAAATAACTGTCACAGTACAGAGGGTGGAAGGTGGTAAGTGCCCAGGAAGGAGCAAAATGAACCATTTGTATTGATAAGAACCTTGAACTTTCGGTCCTACTTGTCCTTCTGCTTGCCTTGATTCAGGCAGAAGCGCTTACTGCCTTTCTAACTGTTCTCTGCACATACCCTGTCCACCCTGGCGTCTGTGCTCTTGTACGTCATGTTCTCTCGGCTCAGGATGCTCTCATCTGTCTGGGAGGTTGTCTAAAGGACACACTTTTTTCTGGTGTTGCCAGAAGAGCCTTCCTTGGCCTCTTCCTTCATGCAGTTAATTTGTCCTGGAGGCAGTGTTTGTACGCAACTCAAAGGTCATTGAGGAGGTCCTGAGTAGTGGCTGTCTGTGTGGACCTGTCCTCTCCCCTGGCCTGGACTCTGCTCATTTTCATTCCTGTGTGGGAGTACACATCCAAGGTCCCCTGAGGAAAGGAAGGGGGGACAGAATCAGTGCCCCCTCTTCAAACCCACATATGCACATGTGCATCCTTGTAGCTGGAGTGTCAGTGTCCCCCAAGTTGCCGTATCATCTGGTAGGGACAATACGTGATTGGTTCCATATTTTGCCTCTTTTTCCACTTCCTCTTCAGTCTGTCATGATTGGGGGAGGAGTTGTTTGGAAGCAGGTATTGAATCGCTTTTGTTCGTTTGGGTCTTATCATATTGTAGCTAATTTGATCTTTGCATGGCCATGATATTTGTGAGAATTTCATAGAGAGGAAGTGTTTGTAGTATCAAGATCAGCAGATGGTAGATCTAAAATCTTAGTTCAGTAGTCAGGCAACTTAAAGTTTTATATGAATATATATATATACTTAAAATTTTAATCCTCATATGAGGATATTTTTTCCATTGCTTTCCCGAGAGTGGAAAGGAGAGAGAGAGAGGGAGAGAGGGAGCGAAACACCAATGCAAGGGAGACGCATCGATTGGTTGCCTCCCACATGCACCCCAAGAGGGACCAGGGATTGAACCTGCAACCGAGGTTTGTGCCCTTGGCCGGAATGGAACCCGGGACTGTTCAGTCTGGGGGCTGGTGCTCTAACTACTGAGCCAAACCAGCTAGGGCTGTATATTTTTTAATCTGAAAATTAGATATGACATCTGTCCCCTCTATAGTAGTGCAGATTAAACAATATGCTCAATTCCTTGAGACAAGAATTACACTGTTGTGTAAATATATATGTTGCGCATTCATCAGACAAAAATTATTTTCGTTATCAGGATCTGCTTTATCCTGGCCTTTGGGAATGTTGAATTCTCAAAAACTGTTTCTATTATAATTACATGTTACTGATTTTTAAAGATATGTTTTATGCATGACATGTTTTCTGTTTGGGAAAAAACACTGATTAAATTTGGCAATGTAGATATTCAAAATTATCTGTTCTGTTTCTGTTTAGTCGGAGGAGTTTTTCCTAACAAGTCGACTTTTGGAAAATTTCTTTTTTTTAAAAATATATTTTTATTGATTTCAGAGAGAGGAAGGGAGAGGGAGAGAGAGAGAAAGAAACATCAATGATGAGAGAGTCGTTGATCGGCTGCAGCTCGCAACCTGTGCATGTGCCCTGACCGGGAATCGAACCCCTATCTCCTGGATCCTAGGTCAATGCTCAACCGTTGAGCCACGCCCAGCTGGGCTGGAAAAAAATTTCTTTATGGAAAATCTGAAGCATGTTCATAGTGTCGAACGCTGACTCCTTTGTGCCTGTCATTCAGTTTAATGATCCGTTCACGACTAATCTCATTTTATCTGTATCCCCAGTCCTTATTCCCCCTGCCTGCTCCTCGATCGTTTTGAAGTAAATCCCCAAAGGCATATTATTTCATTAAGTATTTCAGTTGTATATCTAAAAAATAAGGATTCTAATAAGCCATTGTCATATTTGAAGATAATTAATAATAATTGGTCAATGTCATCAAACATCCAGGCTGTGTTCTCTTTTAATTCATCCACCTGCTCTGCAGAGAGAGGGAGAGAGAGAGGGAGAGAGAGAGGGAGAGAGTGAGTGAGTTAGATCTGAGGAAACCAGGTCTTTTATTCTGTAGTTTCTCACTGTCTAGATTTTTAGATTTCCCATTGTTTAGATTGCATCTTTGTAGTGCTGCTTAAACTATTTTTATCAACTGTATTTTCTTCAATTGGTAGTTAGATCCAGGGGAATAATACAATTCTATCTGCAGTAAATATACCTTTTCTTGGGAAATTATTTTGGTGTAAAAGAATCATTTGAGCAGAATGGATGCTTGAGGCAAGTACTGCTCGTGCTGTTGGCTTGACTTTGGACCAAGTCTCTGTTGCCCTTGTGAACTGGGCTGATTACCTGTTCGCTCTGAGGATGGGCCTGGGGTAGAAACAGCCCAAATGGGTTGCTTCAGGCTGTATCCTTAAAATGTGTTGCTTCCAATTTGCTGGGATATACACTTGTTAGGGCCACATATAAAAGCCATAGGAAAACGGCTTTGAGGGGCGACTCCAGCTGTGTTTCTGTGAGTAAAGTGCATACTTTGTGAGTTTTGAGATTGTGAATTGGGCTGAGCTCCATGGCTAAACCTGGAAGGATTTTATGTAGTTTTGAGAATTTTACATCTGAGAGTATATGGTAGAGATGAGGGTTTTTTTTGTGTGTTGTCTTTAAATGGTTGTTGTTAGCTTAGTTCAGGAACAGATGTTAGAAAGTAAGTGGTGAAATGAGAAGAGAGCAGTGGGTAGAATTAGAGTCTGACAGGTCACCTGAGTCCTGGGGCTGGGAAAGAAGCAAGGTATATATTAGTTTCCTATGTTTGCTCTAACAGATTGGCTTAAAACTATTTTGGTTGGAAAGGATTCAGGATAAACATTATTATGCATTCTGAATTGGATATGTATTCCTGGCTACTGTATTTATGAACAAAAGTGGTTCTTCAGATGCTACTGAAAAAAACCTGGACATTTCTAATGTCCTGAGTGTTAATAATAAAGTTTAAAAATGCTTTTCTAAAACAACAAATGAAAAAACGAAAAACAGTTTGTTGTCTTACAACTCTGGAGGTGAGAAGTCTGAAGTGTGTCTCATTGAGCTGAAATCAAGGGGTCAGCAGGGCTGTTCTTTTCTGGAGGCTCCGGGAGAATCTGTTTTCTCACCTTTTCCAGCCTCTAGAGGCTGCCCAGCCTCCTTGGCTCGTGGCCCCCTCTACCTGCAAAGGCAGCTGTGGCTGGTCTCAGTCACACCACTCTGGCACTGACTCTGCTTCCTCCTCTTTGGTTTTCAAATTCCCTTTGGTCACATTTGACCACCTGGATAATCCACGATAATCTTGTTTGAAGGTCTGTTGATGAGTAACCTCAAATCCCTGTAACAGCACATTTATAGGTTCCAGGGACAAGGCCTTGGGCATCTTTCACGGGCCGTTATTTTGCCTACACACAAGCTGGGCCGAGGTAACGGGACAGGTGCTGTTGCTTTCTCCACCGGTACAGGTCTTTCGGACCACCTTGAATGTACACTTCTGCTGGTCTTGAAGGGACAGTATTTAGAACTCATGGTGTTACATCATGAGGAACTTATATTTACAATTATATAGCATTTAAGAGTTAACATTGGTTAACATGACCATTGAACTGGGTCAATCTCTTCGTGTGTCGACTCTGAGGAGCCCTATGAAGTGTTTTCTTTTACCTTTTGATTTCTGTGCAGAAGTGAAGGTGAAATTCTAATTGAAAACCTGTTTTTCTCTTGCTTGTTTCTTCTGAAATATTTACTATTTAGGTTTAGCGTATAGTCATTTGACTTTAGTGTTCTTTGAGAAGGTGCCTTTATGCTCTCTTTGTTGTGATGCTATCTTTTTTATATTTTTATTTTTCTCTTAGACTCTTACTGGTTGGCGGATGTGAAAGTGCTGATGTGAGCACATCAACGGCTTCTAGCTCCGGCCTTTCTGCCTGGAGAGTTCTCTCGGGATCACCTTATTATAAGCAGGTCACCAGTGGTGGAGGCAGGGTCGCTGCCGTAAGTATCAGGCCCGGCTTTTCTTGTTGCTGATAGGCTCAGGCAGATCCGCCTGCCCTTGGTAGGGTAAGGAGGAGGAAGTCATCTGTCCTGAGTGAGGCAAGTGACCCAGTGCTGGTGAGAGCCTGGTGCTTCTCTCACGTGTCAGGTTTATCTAAAGCATGTGGTGTGTGCCTTGTTCCCATTATTAGACAAACAAGCAGCCTAACCGTAGTCCTGTTACTTGCATTTACTTGTTTAGACACGATCATTTTTTAAGTACTTTTTATGTGCTGACAGCTGTGCAGAGTGCTGTTATGTGTATTAGCTCATTTAATCATCACTAGCCCTTGCAGGTAGGTGTTGTGATTGGCCTGAGTCTATGGATGAGGAAAGTGACATGTAGTTTATTTAGTAACTTTGCCTGGTCACCCAGCTCGCAAGTGGCAGAATTAGGTACAGACTGGCAGAAGTTCCCTGTCTAAGCTCCTGGCCACTGAGGTGCACACTCCCGTTTTGTTTCATGTCTACCTGGCCGTCACCTAACCACTCATTCATCCATCCTGTGGTGCAGCTTCTGTTTTGTGTCAGGCGCTCCTGGATGCTGTACTAGTCAGTATAGGCTGCGCTCTGAAGTGACAGTTACATAGACAGATGGAAAACCCACCACTTCTGCGGCTGCGACATAAAAATGTATCTTGTTTGTGTCAAAGCCCGCTGCTGGTACCAGGACGCCCCTGGACACCGTGCTCCACATGGAGATGGAAGGGTCCGTGGGGCTGCCGTCCCTGGAGGCCCCGCTGTCTCGGGTGTTTTAGGCTCAGAGAGGGAGGAAGGCTAAAAGGCAGAGCTTCCTACTGCCTTACACCAGGACCGACACCACGTCTGCCCCAGCTCATTTACTGTAATGTGTCATGGGACCCCTCCTTGCAGGGGGCTGGGGAGGGGATCTGCGCATCCAGAAAGGTGAGAGCAGCTAGATACTGGTGAATGCCCAGTCATCCTGGCTGCCCTGTGGGGTGTATGGTGGGTCATTTGTGTAAACCGCATGAAAGCAAGCACCTGATCAAAATCACACCCCTGTGCGAGCTCACTGCCCGATCTGTGCTGGGCACCCAGGTGGTTTCCAGTGAGGGAAGAACCAGCACGGCAAAGTGCCACACAACCTCATTGTGTTATGCCACTTCTTCCAAAGGAGGGTATTTATCCCATTATTTTCTTAGAGAATGTTCATTTCAAAATAATCCTCTAAAACCATGAATGGTTAATGGTTTTGGAGTTGAAAAGGAACTAACGAAGAGGTACTTTTGAAAAGAAATCTTAAGCAGTTATAGTAAGGTTCCGTTAATTTTTTCTTTAGCTTTTAACATATATTGAAATATGTGATTGTAAATTTAACCCAACAAAGTGTGTTTTTAAAAATTATTTAGGTCTGCTCACTGGTTTATCTGGCACCAGGCCTTAAAACCGTTTGTATTGTAGACCAGTTTATATCCAGTACTGAGCCCTGTGCTTTCCCTCCCACTCATTATGCATCTACTCATTCTAGCGCCCATTTATTCTCTTCAGAGGACTCGGTGAGAGGTCCAGGTTGAGTATTATCAGCCCCATTCCGTAGATATGGAGCCCAAGGCCCCGTGAGATCTTCGGAACTAAGAGCAGGGGATTAGGGTGGACCCAGGCCCTCCGGTTCCTGCTTAGCACCTTCCCCCACTCCCCACATGAGGTTACGTGCCTATCAGCGGCATTGTCAAGTTCGTGCTTGATGATTATCCCATGATTTATGTAAAAAAGGTTGGAGTTGCTTGTACATATTGGATATATTATTTCTATTTGTAGGAATTTAGTCATGTTTCTCTGATTTAATTCATGCCCAGCTTGCAGTTTTGATTGTGAACTATATCAGGGCAGGACTTGGAGTGACTTTGAACAGTTCCATCTTTTGAATCTAAGTGTGATGTCTGCAGCTTATTTTTCAATGGTTCAGTCAAAAAATAATTTTAAAAAGGATGCGTATGCACAGATAAAGCCAGTGTGGCAAAAGGTTAACAATTGATGAACTCAGGTGAGAGGTGTCCTGCTGTTTCATTATCTAACCATTTTAACTTTTCAGTTGCCATGGGATTTGTCAAAATTAGAGGCTGGGGGAATAAAAGGAGATAGGAGGTGGCGGGCACAGGGAGAGATGGAGTAGGTCAGCTGCGAGGGTCAGCTGCGAGGCCCATCTGGGAGAGCACGGTCTGGGGAAGGAAGGTCACCATGTCCTCTGACCTGCTCAGCTTCTCGGAGGCCCTCTCTCCACTGCCCATGCTTCACTCTGTGCCTTCCCGAAGCATGGGATCCACTCTGCTCTGTGGGCTTCTCCCCGCTCTGCCCTGAAGCTCTGGTACTGGGAGTCTTTTAAAAGAAAGTTGCTGGTGCGCTGAATAAGGGGTAAAATATCGAATTGCCGGTTGAATGCTTTGCTGTATGATTAACTTCTTGAGTTGCTGCAAGCATATTTTAATTACATTGGTGGCTTTTAAACGTGTCTTGCAGCTAAACTTACTGTCATTCTTGGTAGCCTTCCCCTACCTCAGTCATTCTAATTAATAGGATTAGTTCCTTTTGTCCAGTGGAGACATTGTCCTCATGGAACCTCCTCTCATTGTGTTTAAGGTTGCTATTGTGTTGGGTGGATATTGACTCAAAAATGAGGCTGACATATATTTTAGTCTCTTGCAAGGCTGCCAGGTTGTAAAACAGACTATGCAAAATTCAATATATGCATTGACCAAAGTTTCCAAATTAATGTTAGTGTCATCTGTGTGATAGTTTTATTTGTTTGTTCAGCATCAAATCACTGCTCCAGGTAACAGAATGTAAAGGTAGCAGCCCTCAGGGCTTTACTTACTGGAGAGTACAGCTGTGTCCATAGCTAAGGTCAATAACCTGTAACAGATACCAGGCTAGATTCAGTTACTGGGAGGCAGGAAAGAACCAGGCTCGGGACTGGGAAGCCTGGGGTTGGAATTCCAGCTCATTACTTGCCATTGTATTTTAAGGCTTTTGCCAGGATCAAGTGAGGTAATATGTGCCGAATGTACTTGATAAATCGTAAAAAACCTACAGTGTCAACTATTACCTATTTCTATTTTTAAGATAAATATATTTTTTAAAAGTATGTAAAGGGAACAAAACTGTTTCTTGTTGGTGCTGCTTTTCTGCTATAGAATGTTGTGGAAAGAGTACAGCTTTTTGGAATCCTGTTACCCTGAGAAATTCTATTGCCCTGAGCAAGTGGAAGTGATGAGAAGAGTATTTCCACCAGCTCTCACCACCTGCCTGCATCTGTGCCTGTGTCTGTCTGTCCTGTTAGCGCTGATGACTGTCCTCCCACCAGCTACCGCCAGCCCTTCCATTTAATCCACTAGACCTCATGCTTGCTTATCGAAGGAAAGGATGTTTTTCCTACAGCATCAGTTTTGCTGTTAGATTTATCAGCTTACAACATGCTTTTATTGTTCTCTTTGTAGAAACTCTTTGGTTTAGGGTTTGGGGTTTAAACCCCACTAGATCCTGCTACCACCCTGTTTATTTTCCTTTCTTCAGCATGTTCAGGGGTTGTCTGTCCTTTCCACTTCCTCTCTTTCCAGGCTCTCTTGAATTCACTTGAACGGGTATTTACCTTTATCATTCCACTGAAACTATCTTATTGCCCCAGTTTATCAGTTTCACTGACATTCTTTAATTCCTACTAATTGCTTATATAAAAATTTGTTTATTTTCCTCTTTTCCATCGCTTTCTTTTCCCTTTTTTAGTTGTGTTATTTCCACTTTGTCAAAACACAAAATATTTATGCATTAGTTTCTACCTTTAGCCTCACCTCTTCTCAGTCTTAGCTGGCCGTTTACATATTCCAGAGTGCTCACTGTCACTTCCTTTGCTGAACTTCTCTCAGTCATCTCTTGATTAGATGAAATTATCTGCTAGTAGACGTTTTGAGAAAGGCTCAGAGGTGAAGAGTTTCTTAAGTTCTTATATGTTCAGAATTGTTTTTCATAGCCTGGATCTGAAGAAAAACATGTCTGGATATAAAATCCTTGATTTTTCTTTTTTTTTAAATTGACCTTTAAAAACACACACTTGTATATTGTTACTTTGTATTGTGTATAGAATTTGAAAAGTCTGATGAAGTTAAATTGTGGTTCTATGTTGTTTGGCCATTTTGCTTGGAGGCCTGAGGATTCTCTTTATTTTTGCACTCTAATAGCTTTCTGAGGATATTTCTTAGAGTTGGTTATTTTGGGTTAATTTTTCTAAGTACCCATTGGCTCTTCCATTGTATAGATTCAGATCTTTTTCTGTTTTCTTCGACCTTTTTTTTGGATTATAAATTTGAAAGTGATTTTAGATAGGCCTTAGACCCCTTTGTTAGTTTTCCTTGTCTGTTCTCACTGGGCCCTGCAGTATTTTTTCAGTCTGCTTTTGCTCACCACCAGGCCTGGGTGGGGGTTGTGGGGACATGACAAGAGCAAGTGGAGGTGACACCCTGGGATTTGGTGATTATTTTCTCTTTCTACTTACAGTTACTTTGAAGATTGGCTGTCCTCAGTCTTCAAGTTGAGCTGCAGGCATGGTTTTTATGTAGAATTATTTTTGCCTTCTTGTTCTTGCTTGTTGGAGAAATTATGGGGAGTTAGGTTCTCACTTATGTCTTCAGCTACGTAGTTCCGATAGGAAAAAATTTAACTTCAACAAAACAGTACCCCCACCCCCCTTGCCTTTTTCTTTTAAATTAAGTAAAATTCACATAACATAATACTAACCATTAACCATTTTAAAGTATACGATTCAGTGGCATTTAGTACATTCACAATTTTGTACAACCATCAGCTATCTGGTTTTAAGACATTTTCATTACCCCAAGAGGAAAGCTCATACCCATTAGACTGTTACTCCCAATTCTCCCTTCCTCCAGACCCTGGCAGCCACTGCTTTCTGTTTTTATGGATTTACCTATTCGTAATGTTTCATACAAATGGAATCATGCAAGATGGTCATTTGTATCTGGCTTCTTTCATTTAGCATAATATTTTCAGGGCTCATCCAAGTTGTAGCATGTATCAGTGCTTCAGTCCTTTTATGACCAAATACTATTTCACTGTATAGATATACTGTATTTGTTTATCCTTAGTTCATGGGCATTTGAGTTGTTTTCACTTTTTGACTATTGTGAATAGAATTGCTGTGAACATTCATGTACAAGTATTTGTTTGAATACATATATTTGATTCTTTTGGGTATATACTTAGGTGGAGTTGCTGGGTCCCATGGTATTTCTAAGTTTAACTTTTTGAGGCACTGCCATACTTTTCCCACAGCAGCTGTACCATTTTACATTCCCGCCAACAGTGAGCGAGGGCTCTGAGTTCTCCACATCCGCAGCTCACTTGTTATTTTCTGTTTAAAATTATACCTGTCTCCCTCTCTGCCTTTATCAGTATATTTCTTAAATCTAAAGACAGAAATAATCTTGTGCCATTTCAGATACTGGTTTAAATGATGATTATTTTTGTGGTATTTTCCAAGTATAGAACTAATTCCTTAATGACTAAAATTTCTGTTGGAAGTTGTCACCTTTTCCATAGTAATGTTAGGATAGAATGATAACCTGGAGCAGCCTCTTCGAGAAGAGTTTGGAGTAGATTCTAATTTGCATAGATTGTACTAGACTTGTTATAAATATGTTTAAAAAGAATCTGATTGTGGGCATATTTGTAAGATTTACCACTTGGTAAATCTTACAAATTTTTTTTTCTTCCAGGTAAAAACAGTCTCACCGATATCTCTGACACCTATCAATTTTCTTAACCATTTCTTTAAATATTAGATTTGCTGTAGTTTCCACTTTATGGTAAAGAGGACTTTATACAATGAGAAACATTCCATTAACCTTTCTTTGTATGATCTGCCTTTATTCTCAAGGTACCAAAGACACTGGGGTTATTAAGGATGTTAAGTGTCAAGTTCTACAGTCGCCCAGGACAAGAAAAGGTAACTCACAAACTTAGCCTGTGCTTCTCAAGTATTTTCATCAGCATACTGTTAAGGCCAAAGTTGGATGAACCTTGAGTATTACTGATTTCCCTCTTGATATGCTCTTAGCTGTACACTGTGTGGGCATATGGAGGTGTTCACTGAAGATTTGTGTATTTTACTATTAAAAAAGAATCTCTGAGGGCATTGTGGTGATTGGGAAAGGATTCATGAAACAAGCTTGAAGTGTTGATATTTGTTTAAGCTGGTTGTTGGGTCCATAGGTATTCGTTACACCATAATTTCTACTTTGTTTGTATGAGTACACATGTCTACAGCAAAATGCCTAAAGAGTGATGATACGTTCACAGTATGGGTATCCTAGTATCAAATGAAACCAAGGGGATCAAGAACCCACCACGTTAAAAGTAATCGGTAACATTTCAGTTAATATAGAAAGGAAGGAAGGGAGGGAAAAAGGGAGGAAGAGATGAAATCAAGAGAGAGTTTAGCATATTCATGCATTATTTTCCTGGTCACAATGCTGTTGTTAAATTGTTCATGTTCATTATACATTTTTTTGGTTATTGTTAAATAGATTTATAAACTTTGCTCCTTCATTCAAGAGCACTTTTAGTGGAGTTGTTTACTGAAGTATTTGTAATACCTGGGAATTACCATATAGGTCACCCTCTAAAGTGTGTTATTAAGTTCTGGAGATTATTTCTATTGAACTGCAAGCCTATGCTCCGACACTAATGTAATATGATCTCTGTGTAGGATGGGATCTTTAAGATGAGCCTCTCTCCAGATGGAACCCTCCTTGCAGCCATTCACTTCTCAGGGAAACTGAGCATCTGGGCCATCCCATCCCTGAAGCTGCGAGGGGAGTGGAGTCAAAATGAGCAGGTACGGCTCTCAATTTGGTTATTCATAGAATGACTCTCGCTTCTCGATTACGGGTGAGTGCTGACGATACTGATTCATTTTGTTGATATTTTACTGTCGTGCACTATATAATTTATTCTCATCATTCTGAAACTTTATATTATCAGTAGAGTAGGACAGATTAAGAACAGAGNCCACTTGGTAAATCTTACAAATTTTTTTTTCTTCCAGGTAAAAACAGTCTCACCGATATCTCTGACACCTATCAATTTTCTTAACCATTTCTTTAAATATTAGATTTGCTGTAGTTTCCACTTTATGGTAAAGAGGACTTTATACAATGAGAAACATTCCATTAACCTTTCTTTGTATGATCTGCCTTTATTCTCAAGGTACCAAAGACACTGGGGTTATTAAGGATGTTAAGTGTCAAGTTCTACAGTCGCCCAGGACAAGAAAAGGTAACTCACAAGCTTAGCCTGTGCTTCTCAAGTATTTTCATCAGCATACTGTTAAGGCCAAAGTTGGATGAACCTTGAGTATTACTGATTTCCCTCTTGATATGCTCTTAGCTGTACACTGTGTGGGCATATGGAGGTGTTCACTGAAGATTTGTGTATTTTACTATTAAAAAAGAATCTCTGAGGGCATTGTGGTGATTGGGAAAGGATTCATGAAACAAGCTTGAAGTGTTGATATTTGTTTAAGCTGGTTGTTGGGTCCATAGGTATTCGTTACACCATAATTTCTACTTTGTTTGTATGAGTACACATGTCTACAGCAAAATGCCTAAAGAGTGATGATACGTTCACAGTATGGGTATCCTAGTATCAAATGAAACCAAGGGGATCAAGAACCCACCACGTTAAAAGTAATCGGTAACATTTCAGTTAATATAGAAAGGAAGGAAGGGAGGGAAAAAGGGAGGAAGAGATGAAATCAAGAGAGAGTTTAGCATATTCATGCATTATTTTCCTGGTCACAATGCTGTTGTTAAATTGTTCATGTTCATTATACATTTTTTTGGTTATTGTTAAATAGATTTATAAACTTTGCTCCTTCATTCAAGAGCACTTTTAGTGGAGTTGTTTACTGAAGTATTTGTAATACCTGGGAATTACCATATAGGTCACCCTCTAAAGTGTGTTATTAAGTTCTGGAGATTATTTCTATTGAACTGCAAGCCTATGCTCCGACACTAATGTAATATGATCTCTGTGTAGGATGGGATCTTTAAGATGAGCCTCTCTCCAGATGGAACCCTCCTTGCAGCCATTCACTTCTCAGGGAAACTGAGCATCTGGGCCATCCCATCCCTGAAGCTGCGAGGGGAGTGGAGTCAAAATGAGCAGGTACGGCTCTCAATTTGGTTATTCATAGAATGACTCTCGCTTCTCGATTACGGGTGAGTGCTGACGATACTGATTCATTTTGTTGATATTTTACTGTCGTGCACTATATAATTTATTCTCATCATTCTGAAACTTTATATTATCAGTAGAGTAGGACAGATTAAGAACAGAGGTATACTGGGCACTGACTTTAATTTTTTGTGCAGTGTACTCTATGTCCATTGACTCTCCATTTCCCCCTTTTTCTTATTCCAGAAATACAAAGTGGAGATGTTAGATTTTCTAGCTAAAGTCAACTATGTGACTGAGGCTTTAGAGGGTGAATATTCTAAAAGTGTTACAATTCTTTCCAAATTTTGCAACACTAGTAATATTGGGCTTACTTAAGGCTTGAAGGGAGTTGTTAGGGAGTTGTCATCTCTTCACTCAAAAGATGGATAGTGAAGATATAGAGAAAGATAGAACTGTTCATTTTTTTAATGTCTTGCAATGACAGGTTTTAAGAAAAAATGATTTAGTTATTTAGAAACAGATCAGATCAACATCAGTTATAATTTAGAGTCATGATGGGCAAGGGAGGTCAGCTTATAGAATGCTACGTGTTCTGACAGAGTGGAGACTTAAAGAAAAATCTTCTCAGTTGCATATAGCTCAGGCTATATATATGTTACCCTTCTGATGGTTATTTTGCATTCAGCACTATAAGGGGTAATTTCCCTCCTTTCACTTCCCCACTCCCCTTTTCCTATAGAAACATGTGTCTCCAGCTCTGAGGGATAGTTTTGTAATTCTAAGACTGGAGCATTTCCCCTGAATGATGTGAGTGGAGTGATGCCTGTTTTCAGAATTCTTTTAAATTGTATTTCATCAGTGAAATTGTGCTATTAAAAGAATTCTTAATAAGCTAACAGCATTTTTTTTTTTTTTCCAGAATTGTAGAGGGAAAGGGAAAGTGGCTCTACATTTTCTTACTCTTTCACAGACTTAAATTGATTAATTTTGGCTGTTCAGTTCTTCGATATCTTCAACCCATATTTAGTAAGATTGCTCTTCCCCCGTAGTTCCTACCTTGAATTTAATTTGGTGTCTATATCTCTACCACTCTCTCTTACTGGGGCTGCATTTGTTCTAAATGGAAGAGGTGCTCTCTGTCTTCAACCTCAGTATCCAAATACAAGGGACAATCTCTCCTCTGAAATTATAGCTAATTTGATTACATCTTCACTTAGGAGTGGAATGGATCAGCTTTCAAAACTGTTTCTTCAACGTGTTTAGCTAGGCACACCAGGTAATGGATCCAAAAGGTACCTGCATTTTACATGGTGATAAAATATTCAGCTTTTATCATTTGGGAAGATCCTGATGTTCTACTGTATGTGGGAAATTTATATTTGGGCAATTTTTTCCTTAAATGGTGAAAATTCTTAATATTAAAGGCATTTCCCCCTCCCCCGACTTTCTGCTTTTTTTAAATTATTTTCATTTACCTAATAGAAAGCACACTTAATATTTCATTTTATGAATATCCCAGGATGTCATACATGTAGCGTAAGGGCTATTTAGGCAAAATCCTTTATGTGCTTTTTTGTTTGCCGAATTTCTGTGTAACCTTTCTTTTGTGTCTGTAAAGATAAATTGCGTCTGTTGTAGTCCTTATTAAACTACACTCATCTTTTTAACTCGTTAGACATTTTTTTCTTAGTTCCCAGTCAATCTCAGTATAATCCATTACTCTTTAACTCATAATGCTATTCATTAATTAGAATTTTATAATGATTCTATTAAAAGAATTTAAAAATCTTGAAACTCGGGAATGAATAACTATAAATATCTCAGTAGTTGGACTAGATAGATCATCAGAAAACTAATGGGCCAGGAACGGAAGGGAACTCAGAAATGGCCAAACAGGTGCGTGGTGGGACGAGATGAAATCAGGCTGGAAGTTGGTATCTAGCATTGTCCTAGTCAGAGTTCAGAAGGGCAGTTCTTCAGGAGTTGCCGTGGCAGGATTTCCTCATTGCACCTCAGTGAGTTACCATCTCAGCTCCTGTGGCTCTGCTCCAGGGACCCCCAGACGGTCTGATGATTATTCACTGAGCACTTGTCCCGGGTTCTTCAAGTAAGCAGTTGAGCTGAGACTTAATTTCATATCTCTGGGACTCTGATGTCCATGCTCTTTTCATGGCCATGTTGGAAAACAAACACATTTTAAAGAGGTGGAAAAACCCCTATTTATTAGGCTTTACTTAAAGAACAGAGACAAATCCCATTTTTCAGTGAATGTAACACAGATTTCTTCACCCCTCGCAGATATGTTAAACTCTGAGCTAGTTAATGTATCCCAGGTTGTAGAATAAATAGTTGAGGTAGCCTCTCATTGCTAAATCTGTAACTTTATCATAAACATCTATCGTACATGTTGTGGCAGGACATGAGAGCAGGACGGTAACTCTATCCAGCAAAAGGAGTTGGAACAACTACACGTTGCTCAAGTCTTCCACCTGTATCCTGGGGATTAGTCACATTGGACTGGCATTTTAGGTTTGGCCTTTAATATATGGAGGGAGTCATTAAACTCTCACACGCTGGAACAAGTGCTGTAAGGCTTGTGCGTAACAGTACTATAAAGAGTAGGCAGCTACTATACTTACAACAATAATCGCAAAATAAAGTTCAACTATTTTTTTCAATCTCTACCAAATGCTAGAGTAGAAAATGCAGTAAGTCACAGTTCTTGCCCTTAAGATGTTCCTGGTCTTGCAAGGGACATGATAAACAAATGAATAAAATAACATGTTAATATTACGGCAAGATAAGCTCAGAGGAAAGTCATGTAAATTCAGTTGATGGTGTCGGCAGGAGGACTTGGGAATGAATGACGTTTGTATCATGGAGCTCAGCTGTCCATAGAGCAGTTTTCATCTCTTTCATTTGCTTCACAGAAACGCTCTTAAGTGAAAAATGGGTTTATAGTCATTTTAATAGATAGGCAGAGTGCTAAAAGCAGTTAACCTAGATCACTAAATGTTAGTGTTAGAATCAAGGTTTCATTTTGACCCAGGCCCTGTGATTTCATAGGTTAAGCCTTTTTTCAGAATATCTTCTCAGAGAGCATACATTGAGAAATACTGACTCTTATCTGGGCAGATCAGGTACTGGCTGTGACATTAGTGGAAAGCCGGGAGGGAGCACCACGCAGTTGATACGAACAACCCCTCCTGGGGCCGTGCATTTCATTGTGTAGACACTGGAAATGTGATATTAGTAAGTGAGAGGTGCTGTGTACTCATCACAGGCTGAAAAACACTCAAAAACACTTGAATAGCTTAAAAATACTTAAACAGCTGTTCTTTTCTTACTTGTGTAGCAATAGGCAAGTGATGTTGGGTCAACCAGGTAGGACAGAGCTCTGCTTTATTGCTGTTCTAGGAAATGAATGGCAAGCCACTTCGTTTAAAATTGATGCTATGGTAATACACAGTATATAGTTAGAGCTTATAATTTTAGCTTAAACATTACTGAGAAGAAACTGATGTTACAGTTACTCTGTACAACCATAAACTCTTTTACCAAATTGTAGATTCAGCTCATCTGGGGCTTTCTTTATGTAATTTGCTACTTTATTAGTTTTTATAATGTGCTTTGTGTGATTATTTTCCCTATAAAATCTAATGATTAAAGATGTGTAAGTGCCTGTTCTGATTTACTTCTGCCTGGTTTTGAGTTGATTAAACACTTTGGCTTTCATTGTCAGTATGAAAATCCATCTGGCTGGAAATCTGTGAGTGGCGCGTTTTGTTCATGTCTAGAATGGAGTAAATTGCTAAAGTGATTTTCATTTCAAACACTTCCCATATGTTATGTTTATATATTTACATCTCATTTTTGGCCTTAATTTTTCTCTGAGGAAGTTTTATCACTTGCCTGTTGGTACTTCCTTAGATGTAGCAAACAGAAAACTTACCTTTTTCATTTTCTTTTTTCCCTCTTTGGCACATAGTAGGTAAGGACTGATTTTGTTAGGTGGATGCCTCAGTGAAGGATGAGTGAGAAGATGACTGTGCATGGGATGAGTCTTGACATAATCCACAGCTGCTTCCACAGCCTCACTAGACTGTGAGCTCTTGACAACAGGCTCTGAATATATGCTGCTTCTGTGGGGTCTTACGTAGAGCCTGGCATGTTAAATACTAATAAATGTTTGCGGAATGGATAAATTGTCTAACAATTGTTTTTATGTTGTCGGAGGCAGGGGCTTTACTATATTTAGCTCCCAGCCCTTAAAAAAATCAGATAAAATTCTTAAATGTGAAGAAAATGCTGATTGAGCCATAGTATCCTTTCTATACAAAATCTGGGACTGTTTCTTCCCCAGGCTACTGTGACACTAAGTGAGGGCACCTTAGGCTGTTTGCAGACATGTATGCATGTCATACAAAGAGGTGTGACATGGAAGTTCTTTTCAGAACATACCAGCTCGGTGCCAGGAGTGAGTCCCCCTGAATCCCTTCATCTTTCTCAAGCCCAAATGATCTCTCATCGTTTGGAGACCCCATCACTTTTATCTGTACTTCTCTTGGGGGCAGTTATTTAATTGGGCCTTGGGTTACAGTCATTATATCCATTTCTTAGCCCTCTACCTGCTTGACTGTGGGCCCTGTAATGTCTGATTTTTTTCCTCTCTCTCTCAGTGTAAGTACACAGAAGTCATTGACTAAATAGCAGAAGAAACCACTTTTTGAGAGAGTGTAGGAAGACTAGTACTATGTCAGCTAATTTTTCTGTAGCATGGACATTCTAACTAGGGCTCTGATTTTAACGATCATCATCATTTACCTACAGTGACACGTGAACACTGTAATGGATCTGGGAATACAAGGTTGACTATAACAGAGTTCTGGATGCAGAAGGACAGATCTTCACTTTGTGTTTAAAACTGAATTTGCAGGAGACATCTATTATTTTCGCTATCTGCACAGAGCAGTCTAGTCCCAGAGTGTCCAGAGACTGGCTCCTGAGGACCACTGCTGTTTGTTCATGGTGCTTGTTCTCATTGATTCTGATGGAGACAAGCACACTTGGAATTCTCAGAGTACTGATGCCAATGTGATGATCTCTTTGAAATATTTCCTCAAGATTTTTTGGTGACGTATATATAGATCCTTAAATTTACCCAGGCTGAATCATAATTGTTGTTGTTGTTTGCTGGGATTAAAGTTTTAAAGTGTTATTTCATACTCCTTTGTGTTCTCCAGAGTGGAAGTAGGGGGACCCATGTGCCATCCTAGAAAGAAACGGCGGTGTGTGTAGGGTGCAGCGGGAGCATGCACAGCTGCTGATGGGGAGGCGCTGAAAGCTCCAATGTTCCGCTTGTTCCTTACCAGCGATCAAATGAGATTTCAGTTCACTTCATTATTTTCAATAGTGTGTATCTTCTTGTATTATAGTTCTTTGAGACTTAATAGTTCTTTTTCGTGATTAAGTCAACCAGGACAGTCTCTCTCTTCCCTTAGTATAAATGTAGCCTTTTAATGTAAGGTTTTTTTTTTTGATAAAGTTTAAAGAATTACATCTTCTGTTCTCAAGGACTACTCTGAGTGACTTATTATAGTAGTAGAGAGTAGGCAGTTCTTTCAGGCCATGGAAAGAAGTATCAGTTTTAATAGTCTAAAGGCTAAGCCACTGATAAATTGGTAATAACACAAACATGCTTATTGTGTCATATTAGGTGAAAAGCACATTTGACTTAAGCATACATCGCTTTTTTAGGCTTAGGATTTCAGATACTCTACTACTGTAATTCTGAAGATTAAGTGATTAACAGTGAGCCAAAGGGTATCTGATGTGGCGTAATCTCAGCTGTTTTATGGTGTTTGAGAGATACTGATGTGTCATTCCATCCACAAAGGTGGGCAAGACATTACCTTGCCATGAGATGAGAATATGAATGGATTGAGTTTAAAGATTGCATGCTTATGTATTTTTTACTTAATAAATTTTTAGTCATGGAAGGAACTGGAGATTGCGTGGAGTTGTGGAGTCCAGTCTCAGAGCTGTGGAAGCGGAGGCCTGGAGGGGTTGCTCAGTGGCAGTGGTGGGGGTGGGACTGGCACCCGGGGGGTGCAGTCACAGTAGCACGGCTGTTCTCCCGTGTGTAAGGGTGAGTGTGTGCGAGTGTGTGCAGCATTGTTTGTGAGTGTATCTTGGCTCCATTTGCATTAGTTGTATACTTGCTGTCTTATGTTCTCGTGCACACTGTTGTCATCACATTCAGTCCAGCACCTGCACGGGCACATTTTAAGTGTAAGAACAACTGCTTTTCAAGATTATGGAGAGGAGCGTATTTCACTGAGATCAAGGGACAGCATGGTCTTGATGCTCATGATTTTCTTACGTTGCTGACCAGGAAGTCATGTGTGTTCGTGTTTAGCCAGGCTATGATGACCTCAATCCTGACTGGAGGCTCTCCACGGACAAGAGAAGAAAAATCAAAGGTGAGCTGCACGAGGCTGCAGAGCCTCGCGAGACTTGCTGTGTGGTGAAGGTGCCCTTTAGGAGACAGTGTATGTGGGGAGGGAGGAATGAACTCTTCCCAACCTCCTGGGTTTCTGGCTGGGCCCTGTAAAATTAGACTGACAAAGGACAGAGGGACAAGAGAAAAGCACGTGGAGGTTTGTTAGCGTGACCCTGCAGCTCACACAGGGCGTCTGGAGGGCTGGAGGGGAGGGACTCCAAGGGTTGGCTGGACAGCGGGCTTATGTAGCATCTTAGCAAAGAAACAGTAAACTTCAGAGAAGTGACAAGACAAAGGGACAGAACTTTGAGTTTCTTGAGTTCCTTTAGCTTAAAGTATTTCTTATGTCAGAGTGGCTTGTTTTGGGTGGGCAGGTTATCCTGATCCCTTCAGGGTGTGAGAGGCAGTCAGCATTGGAAACTTACACATCTGTCTTATATTTTTACAAAGGGTATAATTCTGTTGTGTGTCTGGAAAGTGATACACGAATGTTTTCCACAATTTTTTATAACCTTGATAATCTGTGAATTTGTACACACCCACCTTTCAAGTTATTATGTTGAAAATGGTGAAATATAGCTCATATTTTTCATTTTTTGGGAGGCAAGACCTTAATATATTTAACTCTGCATCTCTGTAATTTTGAACTTTGTTGAATTCTTGGCACTCAGATGTTTATTAAATAAATTACCATTTTGTGAGAATTAGAGTGATGACTTGCAATTTATTTTTCCTCATTATTTGACAAATCTTTAGGGCCCAAATATGGCTTTTAAGTTGACTATTAGACTACCTGTGTTGTATTGAAACCACACTGACAGGTGTGTTTGTATTGACTGACTCTCCCCATCAGACAAGGAGTCATTTTACCCACTCATCGATGTGAGCTGGTGGGCAGACAGCGCCGTGACGCTGGCTCGCTGCTCTGGGGCTTTGACCGTGTCCTCCGTGAAAACCTTGAAGAACCTACTGGGAAAGTCCTGCGAGTGGTTTGAACCCTCACCTCAAGTCACCGCTGCCCACGACGGGGGCTTTTTGAGTTTGGAGGTAATGCTTTCCCTGTGTGAGTAGCTAGGGTGCTTGAAAGTCAACATACGTTTCACCAGAAACCTAAAGCTCTGTGTTTTAAAATTTGTTATCCCAGTATTTAATTTTGGCTTTAAGAACAGAAGCCTGTGATTGGAATCCAAGATTGAGTGCAGTATAAAGAAGAGCTGTTGCTTAGTCAATAAAAAACTTCCTTGTAAAAGAATGAAAAAAACATAGAGTCACTTTGCATCTATCACTGTCCTTCTCATCAACATGATAGATGATTTCTTTTTCTAGATTAGTCGTCTTAAAATGCTAAAGGTGTGCTACCCAAGAAATACAGTCTTCAACCTGTTTCTGTGAAAATGACATCTTAAAAATGTTGGTTCTTTTAGCAAGAAAAGCTTGTTTATTGTGAAAAAAGACTGGAAAACAGAGGCCAGTAATTTGAAGTTATGTTTGGTCATTTAAAAGTCTTATTTTAAGACCCTGAAGGGTAACATCCTTCAGTAGCTTTCACTTTAATGTAGATGGACCAGTATATTTTACCCACAGTTTGTTACCGAGTCTGTTATGTAGAGAGAATTAAGGCCTAACTCCTGAGCCAGCTCTGCCAAGTCTGCAATGAAAGTTATCTTTACTGGTCAGGCTCCCAGACGCAGAACTTTGCGAAGCTGCTGGGCAGTTTAACAAGGGGAGGGCGGGGAGCAGTTCTCAGTAGAGGAAATAAATCTGTTCGTGTTCCTTTTCTAAACAGATAAAACAAAACATCGTCTTTTTCCACAGCTGGTATGAAAATATCAAAAGTGAAGAAATTAACATTCTCAGCTCCTTCATTTCCCTACAATAATTACCAGGCATATATTTATGAGATCGTATTAATTAGTTGTTATTAACGCAGGCTGACTTTAGTTTGGAGATTAGGAGCCAGTCACGCATTTGAATACTTCTGGAGCTGTGAAGTACATGATGTTTGTCATTGGGTTCCTTTGAATTCCATTTTTGTTTTAATCACATGGCTGATGCAGTGAATCAGACCAGAGTAGAATGAAAAATATTTTTCTTGTTAACCCTAAAATTTGTCTTAGTTCCTTGCTAGTAATTTAACGTCTCCTTTTTCCATTTAGTGCGAGATTAAACTTGCCCCCAAACGCTCTCGTTTGGAGACGAGGAGTGGAGAAGAGGGCGAGGGAGAGGAGGGTTCCGACTCTGACCAGGACACCTCCGCCAAGGCCCGCTACTTCGGTTACGTCAAGCAGGGCCTGTACCTAGTGACTGAGATGGAGCGGTTTGCGCCACCGAGGAAACGCCCCCGAGCCATCACTAAGCACTACCGCCTTGTGAGCCTGCGCTCCACCACGCCCGAGGAGCTGTACCACCGGAAGGTGAGAGCATGGGGACGGCAGCGTTCATGGGCCCCCAGAGTTGACTGATTTCATTGAGAAAAAACTAATTTTTTAATGAAGGAATTTAAAGAGGGATTGTTATGTTATTGACATGTTTGAGTCATTAATATTATCTAGCTTTTGAAAATAATGCTGGTCTTTGTGCCTGAGAAATCAAAATAAGAAGGGATGAAAGATGAATTTACTTAGCTTGTCCCTTTTGTGCCTTAGCCGGGGTTGGGCTGCCCTTCCTGTGACCTTATCTGTTCCAGTGCAGCTGTCTCCTGAGATGCCAGGGGGTGCGGGGAGACTACACATGCACTTTCTCCTCCGGGCTTTGCTTAGAGGCAACCAGGTCAGTGCTGAGGAGTCTCCTTAGCTGTGCTGCTCCTGCAGTGTCTGAGGCGTTGCCCTGCACCAGGGTCAGGCCATTGGCACTGCTTGTCCCGGTTTCACCATTATTTTACTCTGTAGATGTGGGCATTTCACCGTCTGTCTCTCAGCCTTCTATTAAAGTGCTGAAATAAACATTGGATCTGCCTGCCCCTCACAGTGTTTGTGAGCTTCGGTGCCACAGTGCCCGTGGGAGTGGTTAGGGATGCATGACCTGCTGTCCAGGTTTGGGGATATTCATTATTTGTCACAGCTTCACAGTGACCCAGGACAGCCCGGTAAAGTAACACTCCCTTGTCTGTTTCCTTGTCCCAGATCGAGAGCGAAGAGTATGAGGAAGCCTTGTCCCTGGCCCAGACCTACGGCTTGGATGCTGATCTCGTACACCAGAGGCAGTGGAGGAAGTCGGCAGTCAACATTGCTTCAATTCAGAACTACCTGGTACGTTTCAGTAGTTTGGTGACATGGTAAAAATAAAATTTATGCAACGTCTTTTGGTCACAGGGCTTCAGATGAGAGTACTTTCTATTGCTGACCTTATGGAGCTGACCTGGTGTTTTATTCAACCCAGGAAAACTACCTCTTGATCCTGTTCTGGTGCTGAGATGTGTGAATGGGTGTTTACTGATAAAGCACATCTGCTCCATCCATTCCTGATCACCACTGGGGATGGGGATTGGCTTTTCTCTAGGACCTTCTCCAGCAGCTACCTGTGCCCCTTGGGGTATAGCTTTACCCTCTTGGAAGGCAGCTGTCAGGTGCTAATGGGTGATAGGGGTTTTTGATGCCTCTGTGCTTCATTTTCTTTGTATCCAGAGCAAAATAAAGAAACGGTCCTGGGTTCTTCACGAGTGTTTGGAAAGAGTCCCTGAAAATGTGGATGCTGCCAAGGAGCTGCTGCAGTATGGGCTGACGGGCACAGACCTGGAGGCCCTGCTGGCAATCGGGAGAGGAGTGGATGATGGCAGGTTGGTGACAGAGATGGGGATTCAGAAGTACAGGTGACTTTGTGGAAGCTTCTAAGCTGAGACATTGGAAGGGCAAACTTCCCTTTGTTTAGGTTATTCTGTAATGAAGCAGTCACCTTTGATCGATGCTCTCTTATCTGCGGTCACAGCTGTCTTTCCTTTCAGTGAAATAAATGTGTTTACATGTGAGAGCTTGATGCTAAAGAAAGAGCAGATTCTACAGACATTTACTGGATGCTGATCCCCTTTAAGCCATGGGCTTAGGGCATGTACCTGGGTGTGTCTAGTGAGCAGACAAGCCCCCCTAGGCAGGTCTGAGCCCCATTCACTTTATCTGTGACATGCTGGCTTCACAGAATCACCTGGAGTGATTAGATTATTTATCTGGTGGGATCACCACATAAACTTTTAAGCACCACACAAATGTCAGTTAATGGTAGAATAAAGTTAGTTGCTGAGAGCCATCGCTCACCAGATATTTGGAACCTTTTGTGAGATACAAAGATAGGATATCTGATACGTAAATAATGTAAATGAGACTGACGTTCATGACCATTTTGAGACCTTAAATGGAAGTGATTAGAATTGTAAACTCCAGGCAACATGTTCTTCATAGGCTGTTTCACATCAAGTATGTTTTTTTCCTAAGTGGTTTTCATTTTCTTGATTTTTAAAATTTCTAACTGTGATGATTGCTGATGAACTGATGATTTTTTGTTCATTCTATGGATATAACGAGCGAATCACTTTGCTTACAATGGCAGTAGCTTTCGTTCAGATCGTGAGCTGTTTCTGTGGAAATCAAATTAATATAAAGCCAGTTATAGTAGCGGATAGTGGGTTTTCACTACATGAGATTTTAAAAAGTTAATCAAAATAGATTTGTGTTTCCTTTTGTCTTATAGATTTACGTTGCCTGGTGACATAGACATTGAGGGCATCTCCTGGGAGGCGCTCGCCCCTGAGGACAAGGACCAGCCTGCGCAGGACGCACAGGAGATGGAGCGCAGGAGGAGGCAAGAGCTGCTCACCCTAGTGCACTTTCCAGAGTAAGTGACTCACTACCAGTCACGTGGTGATCTCTTTAGAATACTTAGTTGTCTGGATGTGCTCTTTCCTGGAGATAGTTGCTCTCAGTTATTTCGGCAGCTTACAGCGAGTGCACTTAATATTTTACCCTTATGCTTCTTGTGTACTGTTCTGTGAATTTTGGACTCAGTCGGATATCAATCATTTTTATTTTAACTCTTAGAGAAATGTGCTTTTATGTAAATAAAGCGGCTTAATTTATTCACCCAAAACAGGTTAACACTGGAACAGAAGGAGCTCTGCCGCTGCAGGCTGAAATTATTAACCTACTTAGACCGGCTGGCAACGTACGAGGTAAGGGCCAGTTTTAGTTGGGCCGATTATGTTTATTTGATCTGTCATTACAAATGCTGTGGCTGTCCTGATAGTTGGTATTCTTGGTCTTTAGAACTATTTAGGTGGGAAAAATTTAATTATGCACAGAAACGGGTTCTTTTGTATACCAGTTTCAGTAAGAATTAGAGGTTGTGAAAGGCCAGAGGTGTTTTGTTAGTCTAGGGAATGGAAATGCTTTAGCCACGTCGCTGCATTTGTTTCCTGCATTTATGGTCCTTTTATTCACTTTGATTTTACATCTTGAGTTTAAGGTTATGGAATAGAGTTGTCTCCAGCACCAAATTTCAGGATATATTGTGTTTTAATCATCCTAATGTGAATATTTCTGATTCACTTTATTTTAATGATTTGTTACTGGGTTTAACTTAGTTGATTGAACTTTGATCCAATTATCGCCAAAATTACACACTTGAACTTAAAGTATACTTCATATTTGTTTCTTCAGGTACACAAGCCGGTGTCTCCACATTGGGCATCTCAGTAGCACTCTGTACTGTAAGATCAGGGCAGGTGTTAAAGGTTGAGAAGTGTTTCCGTAATATGCATGGCTCAGATTGCTTTCCCTTGTGACCCTCATGGCTCAGTGACCCAGGCTTCATACAGGTTCTAATTTTGAGGTTTGACTTCACTTGCAGGTCACGCCCTCAGTCTGTGTTACACCACCTTTCTGTGGTCGTACCTTTATTGGCCCTTGGTACTGGCTCATAGTAGGCACTCAGTAATGTCACACTTATTGATGTGATGCCCACCCCCAGAATAATGGATGTATTTAGTACTTCTGATGCCTGCAAGCAAATCCCAAAGCATTTGATTCCCCACCTGTCAATGTAATGGAAAGGAAATGTTTTTAGACAAAATACTAGTGACAAAGGACTGTTTCTCTAAAAACCATAGCAATGAGTATATTATTTCATGCAAACAGTTGTATCTATAGTATAACTAGTTGGAATGTTGGATGGTCACATTTTTTAAAGCATATCGTTTTAATTATGTCTGGGTTGTACTATTTTGAGGTAATATATGAAAGCATGCTGGTGAACTGCAGAAGGCAGTATAGATATAGTTCTATATTATTTTTTATTGTTAGCCTTAGTTTTACTGACGATGAGGTATTAAGGAAAGTTCCATGGAATGTTCGGTGTTGACTATCCAGTTAACTTTCTCTCATTATATTGAATTGCTATTTCCCATTTGACAGTAGCAAGGACATTTATTATTACCTGGTAATAGTGATATTGAAAGTATTTGTTGAGCCCACCGTTTAAGGGAATTAAGCTAATCTTTTGAAAAGTACGTGAAATTGATGAATTTGGCTGTTAAAGCTTAGAAATGAAGATGTATAAGGATGGTAGCGAACAAGGGGATGGGGGCAGAGATAGGCATTGCATTTTAGTCGTAGGGCAGGGCTTATTTTATTCATTCTGTGATAAATGAGATAAAAATGGATTCACTTAAATTTCATTCAAGTGCCTGCTACATGCCAGATATGAAGCCAGTGGTGGAGGTCAAGGGACGACAAAGGAACAGTCCTTTATTATGTAGGCAGTAATTGATGATAATGAAGGTAGGAGACATTGGTAAGGGGCCTGATAGAGAAGACCGTTAGACTCTTCCCAGGGCTTCCGAGATGATGCTACTTAGGAAGGAGCAGGGCCCTATTCAGCTAGTCCTTCAAGAAGGGAGGCCGATTGGGGGCTGTGGGACACGCGAATGGAGGCTCCGTAGAGGTAGGGCTTTGTGTTTGCTGCAGTGTCCCCAGAGCTCACAGTGATACCTAGATTGTTGAGGAGCTTGGTAAACTTTTGTTGCGGGAATGGATAGGTCAGAGAACATCTTGAGAAATACCAACAGGTTTGTTGAGGACTTGCTATTCATCAGCCGTGTTTTATGTACTTAACCCTTTGCGGTCGTATGTCTGCTCTCAGCCACCACAGCAAGGAACCGTACAAATCTTAACTATTCATTCATGTATCAGTTCATAATTTCTCTGAAAGCTCTTAAGTGTCTAAGCGACCTTGTCACGAACCAGAATATTGCCCTGACATTGCATGTTATGTATCACTGCTCTTTCAATGGAAATTAATTCCGACCAGTACGACACCCATGTCCAAATTTAATACGACCGCAAAGGGTTAATCCAGATTGTTTCCCAACAATTCCCAGAATTGGTACTGTTACTCTCAATTTTATGGGTACACAAGCCAAGGCTTAGAGAAGGCAAGCAATTTGTCTAAACACACGGAGTGGAGTGCACAGCTGGGCCCCTCTGTTCAGTAGCTTGTGTTGTGAGCAACTGTCCCGAGAAGTTTTGTTGTGAAGGGAGCTGAGAAGGTGGTGGGTGCAGAAGTAGAGAAGGCTGAGGGTTGTGATTTTAACAGCAGAAGGAAGAAGCACTGTCTGTGTGCTAATAGGAACGGGCCAGCAGAGGGGAGGGGCATCTACTGCACAGAAAACAGAGGACACGAGGGCGCTTCATTTCTCCTTTCCCTCACTCTCTGTCTGCGCCCCATCTGCTTTTCAGGCCCGGGTCCCCCTTTCGTGCTCATCTTTAAGTGCTGTTGCCCCTCATCTCCTTTCGCTTCCTCCCGCTTACTTTCCCTGGGAGCCAGACTCGCTTCTGTTCAGAACCCTGCAGCATGTGGTGACTCACGTCTTACTCCCCAACCCTCTCCTGCGGGCCTTCTGCCCGCTGGGAGCTCCTCTTGGATGTGCGGTGATCCAAACTCAGCATGTTCCCACATGAATTTCTCCCTGCCCGCCTCCCCCCTCACCTCCTTACACACCCTCATGCTCACCTCTTTCCCACGTCAGTAAGTTAACTCAGAGTTAACAATAGTTACTGGTTATTTATTATGGATGCTTGGCAGCTGGGGCTCATCACTGAGCACGATGGATGGGAGCCCTTCCTGCATTGTGGTGGGGAGACCTGCACTTGCAGTTGTCTGGCAAACTCCTGTCCGTCCTTCCTGTTTCAGAGCTGTTCCGGGGAAGCCTTCCCTGCCTCCCAGAGCGAGTGCTTCCCTTTGCCCCGTCCCCTCCGCTGGCTTGTCTTTCCTACTAGGCTAAGCCACTTGGAGAGCAGGGTCAGTGTGCTGTTTGTTGCATCACTACTGCCTATCACAGTGCCCCTCACACATAGTCGGCACTCAGTAAATATTTGTTGAACCAGTGAGTGGTTCATTCTCATTTTACAGAGACCTCCAGCAGCAGTAAAGCTAAAGCTCTCCTACAGCTGTGGCAGGTGCTTGCAGGACATGCCACACGTAACTGTTGCTGGTTTGTTTGTACCAGGTGGTGGATCTGGGTCATCCTTCTGTAATTAATTTAATTTTCACTTCCTATTTAATTTACTACTGGATTTAAAAAATTAACAGCACTTATAAGCATAGCCATTTTCAAAATAAAGGCGGGACTTCGAATGTAGCACTTCACTTAGCAGTGAATGGTATGATTAATTCTGGCCTTACTTATTTAGGGAAGCAGAGTCATACAGGTTTTTAATATTTCCTTGTCATTGATATTTAACAGGATTTTCATTAAATCCCTTTTTCCCTTTAGCACATCCTGGGAGTGTCTCATGCATCTGAACAGAGATATGATGCTGAATTCTTTAAGAAGTTCAGAAGTCAGAATATTGTTCTTTCAGCGAGAACTTATGCTCGGGTAATTTCCTTTTTGTGAATAAAACAGTTTTGAATATTAACAGTTTCTGAATCTTTGAGCCATACAGTCAGTGTTATCGCATACATACGCCATTACGTTTCCTTTTCTGTTGTAATATTAATAAATGTACACAAAACGGAATCAGATTTTAAAATATTTTTATTCTTCATTCTGACTTTTAAAAATAATTTTTTTTATAGCTTTAGGTTGAGAAACATGGTATAGACCAGGAAGAATCAGGGATATTTCAAACTACTTCGCATCAGAACTGCCTAACGAGTTAGAGTTTTTCATGTTGTCAGGCAGCGTCACCCCTTCATTTCTGAAGTTCATGTTGGAAACTTACCCTTGCCTTCTGCAGGAAAGTAATGTCCAGGCCCTGGAGATCCTGTTCACCTACCATGGCTCTGACCTGCTTCCTCACCGCCTTGCGATTCTCTCGAACTTCCCCGAGACCACTTCTCCACACGAATACTCCGTTTTGCTGCCGGAAGCATGGTAGGGGACATTGTTAACTGAATTTTACCTGCTTTTTACATTATAACAGTGATTTGTTTCATGCTGCACACCTGAAGTTGAAAAATAATTTTAATGGATTCTATTTAAACTTTTTTTCCTGGTTATAAAGTTTGTATAACTTATTTTGAAATGATCCTGAAACCTAAGTGTGTCTAGCACAAGCAGGACCACCTCCACTTAATCACCTAACCTTTCCTTGTTTTGAAAGCCTCCTGATTGGACTGCTGTGTGCTCAGTGTGTCCTGTTTTCTGGTTAAGAACAGGTTTTAGGATAACGATGTTTGAATTAGTTACATCTTTCAGAAATTGAGGTGTAGTTGTGACCACATAAGGAAGTAGGCCCAGGGCACCCAGGAATAACTGACTCCTGCTTTCTCTCAACAACCCTCTCTCCCTCTGAAATTCCAGAGGCACAAAGACCAATGGGAAATCAAAGTAGCACTTTACTGTTCCTTAGACTAGTGTTCCTTATCTCGATTCGAGGCTGTTTGATTGTGTTGTAACATGTGACATAGACTTTAAGCCCACTGGATCCATTAAGTCCCAGTTGTATCACCCAGGGGCTTCTGGAAGCCACAGGATCTCTTCTTGATGCCTCAGTGCGCAGCTCAGAGATGGGTAGGCCATCAGCCCCGGGCCTGAGCAGCACCCGGAGAGGGGGGAGGGCAGAGCACACCTTGCTTGTGACTGCAGAAGCGGAAGGCAAGGGATCCCCTGGTCGACCTTTCACCTGCAGTGAGCCAGCCCACTAGTAAATGCAGCTCAGTCATCAATTGCATGATGTGTCTTTTCTGAGTTTGAGTTTACTCAAATGAATTGACAGTCCCTGTCTTGGTTATTTATAGTGCATATTTTTAGTAACAGATGAATTGATACTTATGAAATCTGTTCATACCTTATAAAACTTTGTGAGAGACTATGACAGATCTGATTGGAATCGTTGTTGCAACCTTTAGCTACTGGCAGTTTACAATTTTAAGGGATGTCATTGGAATTAGGGATCATTTGGCTTCCTAATTCCTTCCCTGCCATCTCAACTCAGTATGATAGTTCTAGGCTTAGATGTTGATGATGATGACCAACATTTATAGAGTAATTACTATAGTGCCTGGCACATTGTAGGCACTCAGTAAACACTTTGGATGAATGAATAAATGAATGAATGAGTGTAAATTTTATAAGGGTCAGACTTTGTGTTGTGTTCACTAATATAGTCTTAGTGTTCAGCGAGTTGTTTTGAATGAATGCATGTACTAATGTGAGTTGTTTTGAAGGAATGCATGTACTAATTAGGGCAGGGATTTTACATTTTAGAATTCCAGCTGTATAACATTTTGGAAAGCAATAGTAAATTATGCTATAATGAATTGACCTTTTAACTGCTGTGTTTTGAGATCCCATTGGCAGAACTTTTGCCTTGGTGTTTAAACAAAATTTGATTTACCAGTATTCATTCCACAAAGTTTTATGATTATGATTGCTGAGAAACTTCCATGGTGTGTTATGTTGTTTTATATTGTCACCCTTAAATCATCGTGTGTATTTGACATTGATGGAATGTGACTGAGTTCTGTAAAACTTAAAAATTACATTTTCTGTCATCGATGATACATCTTTTTATTAGCTACCATCCTAGATTGTCATTGCTATAAAACATGTACACTCTGTGTTCTGGATGGCTGTTTTAGCTTTTTTAGTAGAAAGGTAACATTTTTTACCGTCTTTATTAGCTTCCACAATTTGTGATAATAGAAGTTTTTTGTAAAAAAATAGAAATATCTTTTTTTGACTTTTGGTATTTTTGATGTTTATAGCATTTATTATTTAAATTAAAAAAAATTTTTCAATTACAGTTGACATTCAATATAATATTAGTTTCAAGTGTGATAGCACATTTCAGAAGGATTATCTAGATTTTTAATTTATGCCTCTTTTTCTATTGTAAAATCTTTCCAGAATGATGAAAGTAAAAGGTTGTATTTTAAACAGTTGAAAGAGTATAGCATGGGGGTAAGAGCATTGACAATGAGCCACGTTGCCTGGATTCATGACCTCGGGTAAGTTTGTAACTGCGCCTCCGTCTTCTCACCTGTAAAATGGTGGTGATCACAACATGTATTTCATAGTGGTATGAGAATGATTAATGAGTTAACGTAAATAAAACACTGAGAACAGTTTCGCCTCATGTACCTACATATGTCAAATACTATCTTAAACTTTTTATTGGAATAATTCTATAGTTACAGAAAAGCTGCAGAGATAATACAGAGACTTCATGTATACAGTCCATCTAGCTTGCCCTTTCTTCCATAATCATAGCTCTGTCAAAACTAAGAAGTTACTGCGGGAGTAATCCCTTCTTCATATAATGTGACATATGCATTTCTAAAAATGGCAGCACTATGTGAAATTGTGCAACAAAAACCACAGGGTTTATAGGGAAAAGGGGTCAGGGCCCAGCATTCAAAAACTTTGTGCAGTGAAACAAAGTTAGGAGCCTAATAAAATTGTCCCATAGTTTTACACGTGTTAAATGGTGAGACACTCTTAAATCCTAAAACATGGTACTTTACCTCAAGTAACACCCGAAAAAGACTTTTCTGTGGACGTGGGTGTCGGAAGAGTTGCAGCTGGTGTGTTACTGGGAAGTGGAGGGAGAGGTGATTAGGAATCTGACGGTGAGTTGTAACCCCAGATGTGTAGGGGAGGGGCTGCTAACTCACTCTGGGAACTGAGGTCTCTGGTAGGTGTTTGGGAAATGTGTGTCTGCACACATGATCTGAGCGGTGTGGCCCATGTGAGTGCCAATGTCTTTTGTGGGTGAAATTGTGCCCGAGCAAACATGAAATTTGTGGCATGCTCAAATGGTTTCCTAATGTATCAATATATTGGAACATATTTGCATTTTCAAAACATTAGAGCAGAACCGACTGTATAATACTGTTAACTAAACTATGTACTTACTTGGGTTTAGCCAGTTTTTCTAGTGATATCCTTTTTCTGTTTCAGTGTCTGATCCAGGATAGAACATGGCGTTTAGACTTCATTTCACTTTTTAATATATGGAAATAAACTATAGTTTAACGTCTGTCAGTCAAGAAATCCTTTGACACATATATTTACTAGACATTGAAAATTGATACTCATATTCCTGGATCATCTCCAGAATCAACATGGAAAGACTGAATTATATTTAGTGTACTTTGAGATACTGCAACATTTAAATATTTTATAGTGTAAGTGGCGAAACCATTAATGGAAATAGAATATCCAGAATATCATCATCCTGGAGAAGCTGTTATTCTAGTAACTTGGCAGTTTGTCTGCTCGTGAACATCTAAGCTGAGATGACTTGATGGTTGAAAGTTTGATTGTGAGAAGCATGCTGTAACATGCAGGTGGGCTGCGCTTGTGTGAGCCACGGGCACGATCGACATGTTTCCATTTTCTTGTCTGAATTTGTGGTTATATGAATTGTTTTTTGACTTCTAATCATTTCTCCTCCTTTAGTTCCACCCTAGTTTCTGTGACACGCTGTTAAGGGTGAAAATAAAAAGTGGCTGAGTGAAAAATTTAAGTCACCACTTATTTAGATCATACAGGATGTCAGCCTGATGTTATATCAGTTAAACCTGGTCAGTCCCATGTTCAGATACTGCTGTTGTCTTAGAGCAGGGCTGGGAACCTTTTTTCTGCCAAGGGCCATTTGGGTATTTATAACATCATTCTAGGGCCATACAGAATTATCAACTTAAAAATTAGCCTGCTCTATTTGGTCGGACATTTAATTAACTCACCCCTGATGTGATGGCTGAAATTGCTTCTCTTTGGTGAGGCCTTGGCAGGGCCAGACCAGATGATTTCGCAGGGCCTTATACGACCTGTAGGCCAGATATTCCCCACCCCTGTCCTACAGCATAAACAACTGCACCTGCCTTAATGTAGAACAACCTTGACTACACCTGCCTTAATATAGAACAACCTTGAAAACAGTAGATCAGCTGTATGACCAACCTCCCTGTGACCTGTAGACCCAGGGTCTCTCTCTGCTGTGTGTACCCTGACTCCTGTGTTTGTCCTGACATTTAATTCCCTTCCTAACTCTGAACCACCTTGCTTTTCTTAGTCTCTGTCTCTTTTGCGCTCTTTGCCCCACGGATGATGCCACAGAGAATCCAGGGTCTCCAGGAATTTCCTCAGTACCAATGTCTGTGTCCATGAATTGTGCTTATAAACATGTAAGATTTTATGCACCCCTGTGTTCATAGCAGTGTAATTTACAATAGCTAAGATACAGAAACAGCCCAAGTGCCCATCAGCATTTGAGTGGATAAAAAAGCTGTGGTACCGTGGAATACTATGCAGCTGTAAAAAAGAAGGATGTCTTACCCTTTGGGACAGCATGGAGGGAAATGGAGAGTATTATGCTTAGTGAAATAAGCCAGTCAGAGAAAGACAAGTACCACATGATCTCACTCATATGTGGAACGTAGTAAACACAATAAACTGATGAACAAAATAGATCCAGAGATACAGAAGCATGGAACAGACTGAGGGATCTCAGAGGGAAGCTAGGGGTGGGGGAGTGGGTAGGGAGAGATTAATCAAAATTTACTCATATTAACCATTGTAATTGTACAAGTACATTCACGTTGTTGTGAACCAATTTTCAGAGCTCTTTTTATCTTGTGAAACAAACTCTGCCCCCATTAAACAGTAACTCCCATTTCTCCCGCACCCAGCCCCTGATGACCACCATGTACTTTCTGTCTTTATGAATTTCACTCTGCAGTATTTTTCCTTTTGTGGCTGGTTATTTCACTTAACATAATGTCCTCATAGCATGATATACTGTCAGTGAAATTAGCATTACTGTTAAAGCAGATTTGGGGTGGCTTCCACCTGTTCATGTTACTTTCTTTGCTGAAGATTTAGGATGGCTTCTACCTGTTCATGTTTCTCTTTTTGCTGCAGAAGTA